ACTACGACTACGACTACGACTACTACGACTACGACTACGACTACTACTACTACTACTACTACTACTAGTCTAGTACTAGTACTACTACCACTACTACTACTACTACTACTACTATACTACTACTACTACTACTCCTACTCCTACGACTACGACTACGACTACTACTACTACTACTTGGCCGGCCGGCCGGCCGGCCGCTATTTGGCCAGCCGGCCGGCCGGCTGGTCGCGAAATAGCAGGCCGGGTTGCCCGCGCTGTCGAATGTCGGGGGGTGAGCAGTAATCAAGTGCCGTTATTCTATACCAGCACTCTCCAACAGGTCTCCTCTGGAGGCTTTTGTAGACTTAAAAGTCGCAAGTGGTGACCTGTTGGAGGGTGAGGGTATTTATCTCCTTTTGTTCCTTCAAATTTTTTGGGAACGGCACATGCTTTGGGTTGAGACTCGTTGGGACCAGTTGGGAGTTGAAGAGGATACATTCTTTCTCCCCCCATGTGCTGACGTGGAGCCTTTCCGGGACACATGTTTATGATTTCTTCCAGGTCTCTGATACCCTACCCATTCCATTGGTTTGGTTTCGCTTCCTAGCTATTCCTATCTGTTCATTAGTATCATCTCAGACCCCAATGTAGAATATGGATTTTTATGACGCCCATATCGAGATCGGTTTTACACTCCCAAAAGGGAAGCTTATTATATCACCAAGATTCAAGAATTCTAAATGATGGTGATAGATGCCATCGTTTCTGATGACTTGTCATTCTTCGCAGCTCCATCCTCCGGGTACCGGGGTCGGAGTCATACCGTACGGGTCCCGGAAGTCTCCGCGTTTACATCGACCTCCCAGGTTCCCTCCTCGATCGTGGGTCATGTGACGTGGGGGGGTCCAGTCTGGGCATTCGCTGGCTCCTACCTGCTCTGCTGGTGTGGTGCGGATGCGACCACCACCGGATGCCAGTCACCGGCAGACACTCGGCAGAGCAAATGACCGAAGCACTCCATTCATGAAGAAAGAACGCCCTGGACCCAAACATGGACAACTTGACTTTCATGTTAGATGAAAGCAATACGTATTAACATGTGCGACTGGTGGTTGTTAAAGCTGCTGGCCACACGCCTGGTGTGTCAACCGCCCAACGTCCGATGTCTTTTCGCCCGACGCCGAGCGTCGGTGAACGACAAGGAACGAGACGACGACGTTGGACGTTGGACGTTGCCAGTTGGCACCGTGTTTCCATGCGCTTAAGCCGGTCCAAGACGTAAAGAGGAGTGCCATTCTGGAAGAGAATGCCAGTTTCAGTGACAAGGTGGTTCCTGAGCATTGTCTTTGTGGACACGACTCATGGGTTGCTCAACAGTATGATTATGGCCGGAGTTGGTCCGGCCCGTTAGCTTTCCTTTTCCTCCAACTTACGCAAGAAACCCACTTCCAGCCATTCGTTCTCGCGCGGGCGTTCAGCGCAGAGACATGCTTATTTCGCAACCTGGTTTGCTTGGGGCAACATCCGCAAGTGAGGGGCCTCCAACTGGCTTGCCAGGTGCTTGCCGAGTCGCCGAGTGGCTACAAGACAAGTGGTTGTAAGTGGCCGCACGTGACCGCAAGATAGAACATCAACCTGCGCAGGTCGTCTGCCACGCTCTTTGCACTTTCTGCTTCTCTAGGACTTCCTGGTGCCCTTCGGCCACCTGATCCTCAACGGTCCTGCTGTGCTGCCCTTGGCAGCGCAGGAGTTCCGCTGCGTGCGCGTGCGACAGTGTGAAATCGCCGACTTTCAAGGCGCGGCTGGGAGCTTGGGTGGCGGGGTGGCGGGTGGTGAACGCCGGTGATGCGGGCTCTTTCACTGATGATGCAACAGCCCTGAGGAAAGGAACATATAGACATAGTTCAACAGCCCCTTCTTCGGGAATATCCGAAAGTGGATGCTGGGGCATTTGCAATGCCTCGACTTCGCAAAATGAACTGGACTGGGCTCACCCCAACAAAGGCAACATGCGGGGGGGGGCAGACTGTCGGTAGCGAAGCGGTTCTGCGGTTGTTGCGAACGCAAGACCTGACCGGCCACAGGAGTGTTTATAAACAGAGCGCAAGACCTTGGTACTGTCTATCTATCACTGGGTTGTGAACGGTTGTCATCCAGGTTCAGAAATTATCTTTCCTTTCAAGTAAGCAAGTCCTACATATAGTCTTACTTTTCTGATTGATGTGTGCGGGTGCTATCGAACTCAGCCCGGGTGGTCCTTCAGATGTAGATGGTGCAAACATCAACCATATCAGAGCAGTCGTGTTGGGGGGGGCTCCCGGACTCCCTATCTCGCGATGCCCTCCAAAAAAGCAAGGAAAACTGGCCAGACTCGTTGCGACTAGCAAAGGCTAAGACTCGAAAAAAGACCTTTTTGGAGGAGGAACTTTCAGAACTTGAACCATGTTCTTCACTATGCTGTCAGTGAAAGGAGAGGAACACCAGGGACCTGGCCATCTTCCAGGCCATGTCTTTCGCCTCATGACATCCGCTCTAGGCACCATGCCCCCCACCAGCAAGATTATGGTGGCCTCGGGCGAGTGTGGCACGCCGGCACCCATGGGTTTTCCGCACCTCGGTGAGACCTTTTGCGCACAAAGGGCTGGGCAAAAAGGACTGCGGTCAGCGGAAAAGCATGCCTCCGAGGTGGACATCCTGTGGTTGGATATGGGACAGGTGAGACATGCAGTGGTGAAAAGGGGCCTTGAACCTGGACGGTCTATGTTGCAGCTGTCCTGGTGCCAACGACAGTTGCACAGCAATCGCCCCAAGTTCAGCCAAAGTGTGGGATTGGACTTGATCCGCCATGGCTGTTTCCAATGGTCAGCCCAACCAACAGGTCTGAGATTGCTTGGTTTGACTCCACTGACGCGACTTTTGCCAGGAAGGCAGCTAGCTCAAATCCCATGGGCGTACTGGATGCGGATTTCCTTGTAGAAGCAATCCTTTTCCCTCAAAACGTGACCTAGTGCAGACCCATTGCACAAGGCACATGAGGAAATCCATGAATTGACTACCCAATGTTGTCATCCAATTGGCTCTTGGAAAGATATTGTGTGTCGGATAGTTTGACAGGTTAGTCACAGAGTAATTTTCTAAAATTTTCTAAACATCGCATCTGGTGGTTCCAAGATGAACTGTTCCTATGAAGGATGAATTTGCGTCACCTTGACATTCGGAGGGACCGCGATGCTTCCTGGGCTCCCTGGGCCCTCGGCTCCCTGGGCCATCCTGGCTGATGGCTCCCTGGGCCCTCGGAGACTCCGAAGGGAGACTCCGAAGGCGAACCGGCGCCCCGGGCGCCACGCTCGCATCGATTCGCACCGGGCCTTTTGAGGTTGAAAGGACAATCGCTTCCCTCACGGGATGGGCGTCACTTTGAGTGGAGCAGCGATGCTGGGATGGCACTGATTTAGGGTGTGTAATGGTGTGTATTAACAGGGAGACCTTCCATTTCGATCCCCTGAAAGTAGGAATATATATGAATACTTGAATACACCAGAATACGCCAAACCCAGTACCAACCCCCTTGGTCGGGTGTCTCCCTTTTCAAAAGCACGCGTGTCAGACAATTTGCGAGGGTAATGGGGCCCGCCGCAGGCCTAACCTAAGCTATCGATCATCGATCTATATTGTAATGGGGGATTGCCAGTGAAGATGCAGAAGCGTTTTGTATCTCTCCGCCTGATCTCAGGAACCCATCACGACGGATCCAGGAAAGTATCGGCTTTGCTGGTGCACGGAGGGCCAAGATTGCGTGCTACCCTCGCAGTACTTGAGCCACTTTGCAGAGTTTGGTGTGCCATCAAAGGTAGGTCTACCTTGCCACGGTTTGATGAACTAACGGGACCTACACTCCGAGGGGCACAACACGAGGTGGACGGCATTTTCCTTCAGAAGCCGTTTGTTTTGTTTTTTTTTTTTTTGGGGGGGGGTTTGACTGTTTGAATAATGATGTTGAAGTAAGCCTCAGAAACCTCAGTGGAAACAGTCTGTTTAAGACGTGAGTTGAAGTGAATCAGTTAAGACTAGGACGGTATCTGATCGTCTTCGATCCCCTAACTTTTGTTCTTGATCAATGAAAACATCCTTGGCAAATGCTTTCGCAGTAGTCCGTCTTTAACAAATCCAAGAATTTCACCTCTGACATTTAAATACGAATGCCCCCAACTATCCCTATCAACCATTACCTCAGCTCTAGAAACCAACAAAATAGAACTGAGGTGCTATCTTATTATTCGATGCTAATGTATTCAAAGCGTGCGCTTGCTTGAAACACTCTAATTTCCTCAAGGTAAATGCCCCAAATACCGCACCACACAATCAAGTGCAGATACGGATACGTCAGGAAGATGTCAAGGCTGAGCCAGATGCACACCCAGAGGGCGGACCGGTTCTTTCCACTGAGGTTCTCGTATTTCGGTTCCGGGTGACACGTCCTTGTCGTTGCGGTGGGGTTTTCGCCGGGTCTTTCGGCCGGCACCATCAGAACGACAAAGACATGATCTTTCTTGGTTTGTAGTCCTCCGCCCTCCCCAAACACAAGGTCTTAAATTCTACATCACATCCTCCTGGTTTCCTGATAGCACCAAGAAGCCCCATGTGCAGCTTTCCCGATAAACAAGGCCTTTTCCTTGGGATGCCAGCCTGTAATTCTTGGTTAAGGCTCTAGGCTGACTGTCTCACCAACAGCAACAGAGACAAAGGTCAAAGATCTCAGATACAAAAAGCCACCACTCTGAGGTTATGCGGGCATCATGCAAATCAAATTCCCAACCTATTCGCCCTTGCGCTTCTTCTGTGGCTTGGCGCGGCCCTGCAACATCTCCGGTATCCGGGGGGAAGGCTTGTCCAACGAGGATCGAGTGATGCTGCTCACCAACTGTGGCGGCGGAATCTTGGAGGAGACTGCGAAGGATGGACCCTTCTTGGGAGGTTGTGGGGAGGCACTGCTGAGCATCTCCCGGCACCACCGAAGTACAGGAAATTCCTTCTCGGATCACCTATATACAGACCATTTTAAACATGGTCCTGGACTCCTAAGATAAAATATGCGAGCACAAGCTGGCGAGAGAAGGTGCAGTTGGGTTTCTGCACCACGTGGTGCGCAAGAAGGCCACCACGCGCAGAGAACGCTCCACGCGCAGGAGACCACTTTCCTGGAAGGTGCCTTTTCAATCCGTGCCTACGACAGCGGCGGCACCTTTCTCCTACCGCCCTCCGTTCAGTCCGTCTCCTACCAGGCACCCCGGATCCAACAAATGCAAGGCGTTTGATGGATCTTGAGGGGGTTGCTCACCACTCGATCGCAGAGATGGTCGAGTTGCCATCCATTTATATGTCAGGGTCAGGAGAGTTTCTCATAATTATCCAAATTAAGTTCTTAAAGACCCTAGAAGATCATAGAAGATCCTAGAATCTAGAAGTCCGGACCACTGCAGCACTCAGATCCAGTCGCCCCCCCGCCAGGTCTGCTGGTGCGCGGCCGAGCAGACCTGCGCCAACCCCCGAGACTTCACGGTCTCCTTGGGCAACGGGGCCCATCTCGATGCGATGGGTGGACATGGGTGGACAGAACCTATGCGACCCATGAAGAGTAATGAAGGGATATATGGGAGTTGAATGGAGTTGACCTAAAGGTCCGTGTAAAGGTCCGTGCGTAAAAGATATGGGATTGAATATGGATCCACCACCATTTATATCTAAACTGAAAAGCTCTGGTTTCGAACATCTGGCCTGAACAGTTACGAACTCGAAGCTCCAGTGCCGCCATCACCCCAAATTCCGCTCCCAAATTCCCCCCAGTCCTCAGTCCTCAAAGTCCTCAAAGTCCTCAGGTCCCCATCCTAAAAGCCATCCTTCACTCCCTAGGGCTCCAACCATATCCTCAGAAGGTGGTTAGACCCCCCAAACCCACCCCAACCACCTTCTCAGGAGGTAGTTGGAGCCCTAGGGACTGGTCACCGTCTTTTCGAGGCATCGTGGACTTCGGGGGTCCTCTGCCAGACGTGGTCTACCGTTGCTTCGAGTGGGAGCCCTGCGAGATTCCAGATTTAGAGGGCACCACCCTCGGTGGCCTGGCGTGGTGGCGGGAAGCAACGTCAGCCCAAAAAGAGCGGTCCTAAGACGCAGGGCACGGTCGTGGCACGGTCGTGGCACGGTTTCACCCAACATTCTGAACGTGGGGTTTGGGTCTACGAACTTCTATTTGTGGCAGGGCCTCCATGGTGGGAGGTGAAAGGGACAGGTTTGGACCTTCCGAAGTGAGTGGAGCAAGTGGGCATGTGGGCGAATCAGTGGGCATGTTTGTGCGACAGTGCAACTGAGAGGATCAGCCCGTTTTTGGGGGTATTCTTCCGTCGGGTGGTTGCGATTCAACACTCCATGCACTTTCATGCCATTTCTTGGAACTTGCTGGAGCAGGTGCAGTCAGAGCATGAGATGACCTAGAGCAGCTTCCGACTTCCAACTAACTTCCGCCATCTGCAAGCCTCATGTACCCTCCCAGGTCCACCAGTTGTCCTCATCAAACATATTCAACGATGGAACGATGGATCCTCGGAATCCTTCTCCCCAGGTGATGGGGATCGACTACTGGTGGTGCCGGATGGAACCAATTGCTTGGACCTGGTGAATCGACGCGTCCATCAAGAGGGCTTTCCCTTCGCTCCTTGGGACCGGCAAAGCAGGCGGTTGGAGCAGTTCTGAGGGGTTTCTTTGGAAATTGCTGGTGCTTTGGGGTTCTTTGGACATTTCAGGTCCCCAATTTCAGGTTCTTTGGTTCTTTGGACATTGCTGGTGCTTTTGCTTCCCACCAGATTTGGGGGCTCAACCGCCTCTTCGACCGCTCTTCGAACCGCCCAAACACCGTGACGCTGGCACGTCATCGGCCTCCAGGATGGCATCTCCTTGCCGGCGACGAGCGATGGAAAGAGATATTCCTGGGGCTCCGGACTCGTACGCGCCGCCCCGGGCTTCTACGCCCTCTGCTGGTGCAGCAGCAATGCCACGGATGGCGACTGCCAAGATGGGCCCTTCAGTGCACCGGGCGGGGTGATCCGCGTCGGAAGCAGTAGGGAGTTCCAGTTCATCAGCAACCCGCATGAGAGACTTGGAGGCATTTGGGGTGAAGACTTGGGACTTCTCAGACCCCCCCCCAAAAAACTACCTCGCAGAGTGAGGCCGGAAGCCCAACCGATTTTTTTAAAAATAGACTCTGCCGGGTTAGTGGTTGTTGGGTCATTTGTGAAACCACCAAGCCTTTGAAGCAACCTTCTTTTAGCTTGTACCCCTTAACACAAAATGCTACAAGATACTTTCTAACGCCATTTATCAAGAGTTGGAGCTTGGTAACTCCCTCCAAGTCGGATGGCTTCTTTGCCTCCAGAAAGACTCCACTGGCCAATCTTCAGGAGTCCCCCACGCGCGATGGACCCGCAACTGAGCTGGCTTTTGGCGGTTCCGCTGCCGGCGCTCTTTTTCGGAGCCATCTGCAGCTGGGATCAATGACGAAAGCCGACGACCTTCTCGAACTGAATCCAACTTGAAGCGTCATAGGGAAGGAAGATAAAGACAGACCATCTAAAGACAGGATGGCGGCCTGGCGGAGTTGTCGTTCAACAAATTGATGTTTGAGAATACTGTGACCAACACCCTCCACACCAGCCAAATACTTACTGTCACTGTAGTTGCTGGCTATTTGTATACTGTAGATTCTTACTTTGCCATTCTGGCAAGTTTTGAGCTGTTTAAACTTTATGGTAACTGCCGCCAAACCCTCGTACATCCTGAAAACATCCACAGTATACCCTCCACATCTCTCCCCATCATCCCCATCCCAATCACCTCCCCTCCAACGGCCGCCTTTCGTCCCCCATCTCGGCCATCTCTGCCTCCCTCCCGAGGCCTGGGCATCGCTCGCGTCCGCGGCCGCCGCGGCGGGCGCGAGGCGCCGGAGGCACCGCCGCTGCGGCAGGAGGTCTCGGCACAGCTCTCAGCGCAGCGGCTGCGCAGCAGCTTGGTACATGACGTGGTTGGGAAGGGCACCGGAACATGAGCATGGTGCTGCAAGAGGGCCGTTTTGCTGAGTATTTTTTCCGAGTACTTGTGATCATTTGGGAGCAGGACACGGTCAGGCTCAGGCATGCGGCATGCATCTACTGTACTGTGTATATACATACTCTCTCTCTCTCTATATATATATGCATTATACACAGTTACACAGTATAAACTTATACTGCAAATATAAGTCTACAGGCGAAAAAGAACGATGAACTGGGGCGGATGTGTCATCGGGAAACTCTTTAGGCTATATATGTTATATAGGACTATCCAGACGCCCGTGCACTCCCATGGCCGTGTGACACTGAGGCATGATGACGCTGGATGCTAAGGAGACTGGTTTCGGTGACTCATCCAACAATGAAATCAAAACACCCCTCCCCCAAAATGCCATCCCATCCCCCAGGCAGCTTGTCCCCATCCCGGCCTCCGCGCTGCCACCGCGCATGTCGCCGCTCCTTTCTTCGGGTTCAACGCCCTTCCTCGGACGGAGCGGCTGACCGGTCAAGAGCGACTGGTCAGGAGGTGGCCGACACTCGGAACGACATCAGCAAACTCTTGGAGAGCGGGCGGAACTCCAAGGATCAGAAGAGCGGCGTGCTGGCGCTGTGCCTTGCTGGGGCCGACCGGATGCGGGGGGCGACAGGTTTACACCGAGATGAGGTGCCGCGTCTTTGGGGATGAATGGAAAGACATGGGTAACATGGACTCCACCAGCCACGCTCCACATACCAGACGTACTGTACCGTTTCAATTGCTGTATGTCTGGTTACCGGCATGCCCCTCGCTATTTTTGCCTGCGAATTACTGCCTGCCACCTCCTGCTCACCTAGTAACCTACTACCACAACTTTCTACTTGCTACTTATACCTACATCTACTACTTCGGCTGCTGCTGCTTCTACCGCTATGATGAGCTAGCAGGCTCCAATCGGTTTTCCATTCGCGGATCCGGGTTCTCGATCGTTGGTGCTTAGTTCTTCGATGCTGGATCCTCGGTTCTTGATGTTTGATCGCCGATTCCCCTCGATCCCTGATTCTCGATTCGCGCACGTGTCAAGCCAACCCTCAAATTAGTGACTATCAGTGGCCCTCAAAACCATGAAGCATAAACCATGTTTGTTGCTGGAGACCAGGTCCAGTGGTGGACATCATTTGGGTAAATTAGTAAAACAATGGTTGTTCGGCAAAGACCATTAAATCAATGGTTGTTGGAAGTCTAGGGCGCGCTTCTTCAACTCCAAACCTTTTGCTCCAAGAGCCGCCCCCAAAGCTGCCAAGGCGAGGGCGAGGGCAGCCTTTTTCTGGGTGTTTTTTGTTTTGGTGTTGGAGGGATTTGGATTTCTCAGAAGCACCCACCACTCGGAGGGCTTGGTTTCTCACAGCCAGATAATCCCCAACGGCCGACAGTGGTGGAGGCACGCCGCGGCCGAGGTACGGCGTGTTTCGACAACACCTCCAGGCCGACACTGCGACGGTGGACGGTGCAGACTGCACTCAGTTGAAGCTTCATAGGGAGGAACACCAAGTAAGACCAGCAAAACAAACAGCCTCAGTTGGAGCCGGAGAGTGCGGAATTTCCCGTGTGGTTCCTCCTAAGTTCCTTCGACTTGCGGGACCTTGAGAGAGGCCAGAGGATGTTCTGGATTCTGTTGCACTTCTGAAGTGGCCGGCTCAACCTCGCAGGGGAGGGCACAACGGATGAAGGAGAAGAACAAGAAGTCGAATGAGACGAACAAGGGCCCCAAACGCTTGGATCTTCAGCTGCAGTGGCATCAGGTGAAACATGTGAAGCCGTAGCTGCGCACAGCTGGGCTCAACTTGGTCAAAAGAAATGGATGTCACTCACAGAAGAGAAAAACACGAGCTAGTAAAGTCCTGAGGCGAGTGCACTAGGGTGCTTGAGTCTTTATTAAAAGTAGAAGCTACAGTCAGTCGTGAACAAGCTACAGTGGATGCCAGTGCGGAGAGTTCTCTTGATGTTCTGCTTCCACCACGCTCATCACCAGCCTCATCCCTTCAGCCCCTTTTCTTCAGGTGCGCCAGGGGACGGGTGGCTCGGATCGCAGTGAGTTCTCGCCATAGAGTGGAGAGGACGAGCGGCGGTTCATCGATTTTCCTTGGTGTACTCAGAGTGGCCCCCTCAGTACACCCTGCTAGTTTCGGGCCCCCGGTGCCAGGGGTGGTTCATGGACACCCCGAATCACCTCTTCTGGAGCTAGACTCGACTCGACAGGCCCGAAACGAAAGCCTCCACCGAGGCCTGAGTCGTTCCTCCGGGCAGTCTCATCCGAGCTCCACGTGGACCGGCCGCACGTGGACCGGGGGGGGGGGGGGGGGGGGGGGGGGGAAGGGGGCGGGGTGCCAAGAGAGTTGGTTTGACCCATGCAGGTGCTGAGAGTGTGGGGGATTTACTAGTAGCAGACTCCAGTATTTGCCAGAAACTGTCCGCTGATCTCCACGTTCCTCCATCCCCATGTGCAGATGTTCAGTTTCCAGGTTGGAACTCCGCTTGGCTTTGGGATGGGGTGATGGGGAACCCATTTTTCTTGGAGATCCTTTTTTCGTTGGTGACGGACCCTCCCAAAGGTGACGTGATGAGTTGATCCATGGGAATTTCGGAATGAAGGTTTGGATCGGTGTTCTGATTGGACTGGACCCTCAGGAACATCCAGTCTGAGAAGAGTGACTATTCCTTCAAGTCTTCCAACTCCAACAAGTGACTTGGCCTGAGCCTCCGACACTTCGCTTCCAGCACTCCTCGGGAGCGTGAAAGGGTAAGCCGTGAGCCTCCGAAGCACTCCCAGCTCAGCTCAGCTCGGTGCGCCTTGAGAGAGGCGCGGGCTCCGCAGCTTCCCGAAGCTTGCAGAAGCCCTTACTCGGCTTCATGCTTGGTTCCATCAATCTTGATCAACCTGAAGGGGTGGGCCTCCCGGCCCATGCGGGCCATGCGTCTCACGCCGTGGGCCTTGACCTGGAACGAAATTGGTCGACCCTTCTGTGGTGGTTTGGAAGCCAATGTAGAAATTCTGTAAGCATTCACCCAGTCAGTTGATAACCATTAAAACCTTTGTTGCAGGGTTGGTGTCCCCGCTCAACAAGGACCAATGGAAAGTTTGGTTAGCTGGTCAGCCGTTATTTTCCAGGAGTATATGATATAGTACATGCAAATACTGATGTCAAACAGTATTTAATACTGTTTGACACATCCTCCTGCTGGCAGTCTATACATGTCTAAGCATCCTCCTCGCCCTGGCTGAGGTTGGTGAGCCATATACCGCTGCCACCGCGCTTGGACATTCACCATTTCAGAAGTCCTTCAGCCGGCATCCCTGGCTTGGTGCCGGATATCATTCACAGTGATTTTGACCAAGATATGCTGGCGCCGGTGGATGAAGATATGGAAGTGGAAGACTATGACTTGGCGGGCGATGAAGACGAAGGATTCGAGGATTTTCGGCCGTAGATCATAGACGAGCGTAGATGATCATCGATCGTTTCTGGATGTTTCTTTGGTTTGGCCCCCGGGAGCCTTTGCTTGCTTGATTCTTATTTGAGATAGACATGCGTTTTCCGAACATTTCCGACTTGGGTTTGGAGTGGGCGACGTAGGGTCACCGATACCACCTATCAGTTTTGAATAACTGGTGCTTTCCCTGACCCTAAGACTTTTCTTCATCCTCTGGAAAAATTGAAGATAAACATGGCATTTATCTATCTGTTGCCAATCAGAGCTCGACTCCCACTTGGCTGCGGAACCGTCTATGAGGATTTTGCTCTTGAACCACCATGCTTGACTCTGATTTTGATGCCCTAATGGAATCACATGAAGGGTAGTTCTGTAAAGACACCCACGTGAGTCCTGATTGACCTGATGTACGTTTTGTTATGCTGTAATTGGAATCCCAGCATCTAGCATCTAGGGATTTGAGCCAAAAAATGTTTATAGCAAGCAGCCACTGAATCCAGCGCTGGAATTGCCCAAGCCCTCAATGGTGGAGATGACCAATCCAAACGGCCCGTCGCCTGCGCAGACCCCAGTCGCCTGCGCAGACCCCCGCGCCAACGCGTCTCACCCGCCCTTGGAGGGGCAATGCGGCAAAGCCGAGGGTTAGTTTTTGTGCACGGGGGGATCTTGGAGCGCATAATTCGAAGATTCCCATGATGAAGAGTTGGCGAAGTGAGATGGATTGCGAGTCGCCTTGTGGTGTCAAGGGCCAGGGGCTTGTTGCTGATTTGTTGCATTTTGCATGTGCAGTATTGAATCAGTTGTTGTGTTCTTCAAGAAGTTCAAGAAGCGCAGCTTTGACAAGAGGCGCTCGGAACACCAAACAGCCACTTTAAAGTGGTTGTAGACTAAACTCGTCTAGATTTGAGACAGAAGTCAGCTTCGGGGATTCGAGGACCACCTTAAAGCGGCTGTTTGGAGTTCCAGGCGCTGTTGGAGATGAGGCTTTTCTTTGATTTTGGAGTCCGCGTGCGGCGGAGAGCGGGTTTTTCGGCGCCCGAGGCGCGAAAAAGCTGGAGCTGCGCAGGGTTGGCGTGCGCGGGGTGGTGCCCAGGAGCATCCCAGAGGTGCCGAACATAGGATCTTCAAGGTATAGAAGTCCATGGGTGCTTTCCCTGCTGTATGCCATATCGTTCCGTTTGGTCTCCGCTTTCCCCCCAGCCTCGGTGGGGAACTTTGCAGTTGGGCCGTCTCTCTGAGACGGCTCAGTGGATGAGTCATCCAACGGTTTTGTTTCAGGCGCCCGAAGCCTCCGTGTTTCGATCCGGCTGTTTTGGATCGGTGGGTCAAGATGGAGTGAGAGGGCCCACTGCGCGGCACAGAATCGGGCCATGCTCAATGTAGACGCTTCTCATCGCTTTCGTTTGGAAAGTGTTCACCATTGGTTCACCCCTGGGGCCCTCGAACGCTCCTGGGGCATTCTTTTGAACGGCTGGAAGAGCTGATGCATGTCGAAGATTCTTGGAGATCTAGCAGCAGTTTTCTAGGAAGACTTGCATGACGGCATGCCTCCCTCTTTCTGAGTATGGCGTATGCTTCGTCACATGTGGACCCACCTGGACGCCACCACTTTCACTGTAGACACTCATTATATACTTGATGAGCCGAACCCTGCACATGTAAAGAGGTTTTACACCTGGATTTACAATCCAAATTCTTTATGGTCCGGGTTTTACAGTTTTTTTCCTTAATCAAGAGTCTACATAAGGGTCACTTCCAGCGACCGTCACGAGATTGTGACGGACTGGGTCGTCCGATGCGCCAAGAGCTTCCTTCGCCAGGCACGGGAGAGGTGCCACCAGGCGGTATGGCCATGGAGAACTTGTGGCTTTGGGGGCAGAAGGAGTCTGGAAGCCTCAGATGGACGGATCTCAGATGGATGGACCCAGGACAGGTCTGATGGACCCAGGGGAATTCCAATGCGAGTCAGTTGCTGCCGATTTATGGGACAGGGATTCCTGACATGCAGAAGAGAAGGCTTGCTGTTGATGAACTTGGGCGGCTCAGCCCCCATGGGCCCCACAATCTGTGGCGAAAACAGTTCATCATTCCGCCGGATGCTCCGGAGTCTGATTCACCAAAACTGCAGGCGTGAGTGAGACTCTAGGTCCAGCCCTGTTCCAAAAGACATCACAAGAGATGAAGCCTAAACGAGTGAGGGAGGCTAAAGGAGTGAGAGTGTGGGACACAGTTTGTATGCCTATACAAGCACCCTGGGAGTCCAAGACCATTTTTTTCACGGTGTTTAGGTGATCCGAAAAGGAACTTCCTTTACTTGGGTGGTGCCGAAAATAGTCTTTGGACTTCTAGGGAGTATGCATCCACCGCTTCTGTCAAGTGAGTTGCACTGGGGAAGATTAACATGGAACTTGAAAACCGCCACTGGGTTGGTATTCGGAACATTGTCTTCCCAAGGTCCATGCCAAGCCCAGTTCCAGGTTAAGTTTCGGTGTAGTTCCTTCTGGTTTGACAGCACCCATCGCTGGCCAGCAGGCCCCCGGGCGGACCGTGCCCAGGATCTCCGGGGTGGGCGACATCTCGGAGCTGGTGCGACGCGCTGGACACGCGTTTGGACACGCGTTAGACGCGTGGAAGGTGGAAAGGGGCGCCATGCATGGTCCCCCCGGGGGCACCGAAAGGATTCAGGATCACCAATGGTTCTGAAGTTGCTACCAGGTGTCTATGGATAGGGTCGCCTAGGCCCTAGGACCCTAGGATAGGCCGATGGGTAGGCGCCGGGAGTTCTCTGCCGCAAGGTGGGCGACCTTTTTCCCACTTCCGGGACGGTCCGCGACCGATGATTTCAGAAATTTCAGGGTTCGTCTTTCCTCGAGAACGGCCGATCCGGGTGCCTGGCCAAAACCCCGGATCGTCCTGAGGGCTTTCGGTCAGTCGGCGTCGGTTTTCTCAGTTCCCACGAACGAGCCGCGTCGAACACGGGAAGCTTGGTATCTCTGGGTGGTCTTTCATGTTTTGCCACGCTTTTGCCACAGATTCTTTCCAAATTTCTTCCAGCATTTTGGCCTGCCTTTTTTCGAGCCCGGATTTTTCGTGCCCGGATTTCCGGTGGCGAGTCGGCGGAAGGTGGAAATGATGGATGAAGATCCGGAGAATACCATCCTAGACACCAATGGTGATTGCTGCCAGCTCAGCGGGAGGATCGGGATGGATGTTGAAAAGGAACAGCCTGCCGTTTTTGGCGTTCTGAAAGGGTGTGCTTTGCAGATCTTGAGTGGAGCATGGACACCTGTCTCCTCGACAAATCCACCTCTTGGGCACTTCTCTGACCATTATATAGCCAGACTCCAATCACATAGATCCACTCATGTACAGTGACTTCAGAATGAATATAGCTTGGGCAATGCTGGACGAATCGCAGATGCCAAACTACTACAGAGGTCGAGAACCCGACCCGCCAGGCCGCCAGGCAGGGCTGCCCAAAAGCTTCTCCTTGCCTTCGTACCCTGCCGTCTCACCCCACCCCTGTGTAAAGAGCTTGTGGATGAGTTGGGCATACACCCAGGAAGATCAGCATAGAACCTTTAAAAAACCTTTTGCAAGACGAACTTCCTCCACAAGCTGGTGACCACATCTCTCTTCGGTTTGACGCCACCTCCTCCGGCGTCAGTCCCTACCTGTGCCAAGGCTGGTTGCCCGTGCCCTTGAAGACCGGCGTCCGCTGCCGCACGGTGCCGGGTCGTTTCGGCGGCTGGGTGGGACCGGGTGCAAGGGTCGCGCATGCGGTGGAAGGGTCTCCGGTATTGGATATATATAGATATTGAATCGGTCATATTTAGGCAATTAGTCACATCTGCACATTAGTGTGATACATCCGCATTGATGCCTGTTGTATCGGTATCAATGCATGATGAGTTGTGAAGGGGTTTGTGCCATCTACTCTTGGAATACAATCAAATGACAAGATCTTAGCGCGCAGCAGAAGCAGGGATATCCTGATACTCGTTTATTCTGACGCATAGCAGGTCACTGGTAGTTAGGAATTCATGCAGGCTGGGGTGTTCAGCTCTTCCTTTGGAGCGGGGGGGGGGGTGACCTCTGAGTGCTCTCTTGCCTCTGTCCGCGTCCTGGGCGTCTCCGGAGTCTCTCCCAAAAAACGGGTGTTCGACCCCGTCGAAGAGGTGCGGATGGTGGCCATGGGCTACGAGCACTGCTTGATCGTGACGGCAGATTCCCTGCCTCGCCCCCAGCTGGAAGGAAGCTGGAAGGAAGAAGCGTCAGGGTGGAGAACCTGGCCGGGTCCATTTTGACCTGGCCGGGTCCATTTCGACGCCGGGTCTGAAGAAATTTGGCGGATTTTGTCTCATGAGTTTCATCATGAGCTTTGAAGGGGCCTTGTGGCTGACTATTCTCCCTTTAGGTAGATTGAAACCAATTGGGTGGGATCATCTTTTAATGCTCGAGATCATCGGGGAGAAGGTGGCGACTCAAGGACCACGCGGCCACGTGTGGTCGCCACAAGGTCCCTCCACTGCCCTCCCCACGGCCGGTGTGGACGCTTGGACCCCCGGTGAAAACCGCTGGGTGTTGGACGTGGGGAATCAGAATCGTCTGAACGGTCCATGGGTTCTGCAGGGTCCAGGTGCCTCCCTCCTGCATCCGACGGTCCGTGCCGCTCACGTGGAGCTTCGATGTTTGTCACGCTTCATTGCAGGATGTACGCCTGGGGCAATGGCAGCAAGGGGCAGCTTGGGACGGGCTCCATGCAGGCAGAACTGTTGCTTTGAAAGGTGGCAACCATTCTGGTGGAGGGTTCTACAACATTCTACAACTCGGATTTCTTTCATCAACGGCACGCTTGCCTTCCCGAGTTCTTCCGTATGTGTTTGAGTGGTGTCTTCCTCGTTGCATGTTGGGAGAAGCTGAGATTGGATGAGCCTGGAAGCGATGTTGGGGGGGGTGCGTGTGGGGCGTGAAAGAACCACGGTCAAGATCTTGCTCACTCAGATTTTTCTATGCCAGCGAAGCCCGGATGGAAGCTCGGGAAAGGCGTGGGGGTTTTGGTGAAAATAGGCATCTCATTTTCTGTGCTTCTTTTGTGCGTGTTAAGAAAGTGGAACTTCAATATCTTCAAACCACGTGCCTCTTCACGGACCCTCGAAAATGATCTGGAATGATCATTGACCATTGATACCGAACACATTTTTGTTGGCAGAGCTAGGGTGCGTTTGTAGAGGGTTTCGTTCTCATTATATACCTGGGGCCCCTGGGGGCAGGGATAACTGGGGGCCTTGATGGAGCTTGGTGCATAGTTCTTTCCGATGTCCTGGACGTTGGTGCCGTGTTTGGGCGGAGATGACACGCGGCGATACCACGCCGCAGGCGGCTGACACGCCCCAGTTCATCACCTATCCCACTGACGTGTTGGATGTGGCTGCCGGCGAGGACTGGTTGGAAGCGATGGCCACGGGATTTTGCACGAGCCAAGGGCCGTCCTTTTCAGGGCCATCAGGCTCTTTAGGTCTGCAGCTGGTAGGGTTTAGGGGGCCGGGTCAGCAACCGATTGAGGCCGGTTCACCTCCGATGTGTGGGAAGGGGATGGAAGGGTCCTGAACTTTTCAGGAGCACTCAGCCTGTCTCATCGAAGGCGGGGGTGCGGGAAGTTTGAAGCAAGAAAGACCAAAGAGGCAAATCGCAGACGTTCAGGCGAAAAAGTTCTTACAGTACTCGTTCAAAGAGCCTTACAAACATCAAAAAGCCACTGTTTGGATGACAGGAGGTTTGTTGGATTCTGTCGGATGCAGGCCAAAAAGGAGGCAGCGAAACGACAAAAAAGGCAAATGCATGAAACCATCACCACTTTTGGGATATCATTTCATGCCAAAACAACAAAAGGTCGCGATTGTATGACATCTGGAAAGCATTCTTCAGGCGATCCACTCACAACAGCAAGAAAAGGTACATCGGTAGCTACCAAGTGCTAAGCAGGCCTCCACCTAGTAGCTTCTAGCTAGTAGTTAGTAGCTTCTTTCTACCAGTGGTGGCCTTCAATGATCCGTGAGCTCTCGGTGGGGTCAGGTGGGGAGTGCTTTACCTGGGGCAACGCGGTGGGCGGCCGCTTGGGCCTCGGGAGCTGCCTCACCGATGGCGCCCGGGAGCCCGGGACGGTCGTGCGGGTGGTGTGGTGCACTCAGGTGGCCCCCTGAGAAGTGAGACGGAGAACTCACACTTCACCACTCCGATGGTCATCTGCGGGTAGTATAAAGCCTTTTTCCTTTCGCGAGTACTGAGCCGTGTGGCTCTTGGTCTTGGTCTTGGTTGTATAAAACCATCCTAAGAAGCCAAAGCAGACCTGTATTCTTGTTGGTCAGCTGCGGGACGAAGATGTTTGTCGGCTTTCCCGTCCTAGCTCGGCGGTGATTTTGGAGAAGGGCGAACAAAAAGAGGGGTTCACCGAAGATCTACACATGCTCAGAGGAGATTCACTGGAATCTGAACATCTCAACTCTGGAAGCTGGCGATCTGATTGGGATGTTGAGAAAACTCCAACCTTTGTCCTCTAAGTCCTTTGTGGGTTCTATGACTCTCTATTTCTTGGACGGCTCTACAACATTCTAGTATATTTTTGACCGTCCCTGATCAGAGTGGCTCCTGGTAGATTCTACTTCTTTTTTCTTTGGGCTTTTGGGGCGTGCAAGGGTGTTGTACCCGCACACATGCCCGTACCTTCTCAAAGGCAGGGTTTGGTGGGCCAGATCGGGGCCACTACTACTACTGTTGGTACTACTGTAGGGTTGCCCTATGGATCCACATACCCTCTAGAGGCTGATGGCTTCTGAGAAAGCCTCTGGAATCCCTCGGGTATTATCTGGAGAACCCTCCCCTTTGAATCATCGTGCAAGTAGACGATATGAGCAACTGCCAAAACCCAAAACCTCCGATAAGGTTCACAGAAAAACAACGATGACGTTTGGAAGAGTGCGCACTACAACGCATAAGAAGGTTTAGCATGTCGCTCATTTGGTCCCTGGCTCAGGCTGCGGCCAGTCCAAGGAATCGCTCGGGTGTGTCGCTGAGGAACAGCTCTCGCCCAAGCGCGTCGTCATCGACCAGACTGAGGCCGTGGCAGGAAGGGCGTTTGGCTGGAAGTGAAGAGATCATTCGGTCGTAATTAGATTGCTTTGTTGATCTTTGCATTATATGCCTCATATGTTTTTATGATGCCTTTGGTTGCCTTTTCTGGTGGGCCTGATTGCTACTATCTTAAATGGCGGATTGGTGGATTCCCATGGAGAAAACTAGTCTTTCTGCTGGTACTGGAGCCATACCACCGTCTCCACCGTCTCCATGTGTAAGGTGCCGGCATGATCCACATGCTTGTGGAGCCACGTCTTGGAAACTGCTGGGCGCCCCCACTGGCGTCACTTGAGACCAGATGGGGGCGCCCAGGTCTTGGCTGCTTGGGCAGGTCTTGAGCCTGCTGGGTTCGGATGGATCTTTGGAAGTCACATGTTGCCCATCTAAGTCACTGCTTGCGCTGGTCCGACGCATGACATCAGCAATGAAGCTCAAAACACATGGCGCTACCGGCCACTTCCCAAGGAAGGCAAGGCCTGACGCTTGGCAGAATCGGACCGAACGACGTTGGCCTTTGGATGGATGGATGGACTGGACTGGACTGGCTTGGTTGATTGGCAATCCCTAAGTTCTTCAGGAATTTCAAGACTACTTCAAGAACCCTAAAGTTTACGTGCGGTCTAGAGCGGATCGAATTGACACGTCCATTTTGTCTGGCAGGTACAGCACGGTCAGATTTCCACACCCGTTTATATCTATCATACTTATAAGGCTTTCAGGTGTGGAAATCTGACTGCAACTTAGGTGTCGACATGTTGCACGTAGGATTCTAAAGGGAAAGGGTTTGTCCCGTTTTAGAAGTCAAGAAGCGCAACTGTCGGCACCCCAGTGTAATCCGGGAATCTAATTAACATCATCCTTCAGAGCCTGTCTCTCTCCACCTCCCATGCATCTTCCAGCGGTGCGTCCGCCACCCACGGACGCAGCCCGCCCGCCCGTGCCCGCAGCCCGCCCGTGCCGCGCCGCGGCGCTCAGGTCTTGAGCGCCCTTGCTGCGCCGCAGCTCGCGAGCACCGCGCGGCACGGATGGTGCGCTACTACAACCCGCACGAGTCGGCGATCCGCTCGATTTTCAGATGGCGCTACACGCTGACGCCGCTGGGGCCGGAACGGGGGAACGGGGAGAAGCAACAAGCTTCCGCGGGTGCGTGAGGGGCTGGGCCTGGGTTCGTGGATGCTGGGGATAGACCACTGGTGGAGCAAGAATGAGAGGGACTGCCATGTATGTTTTCATGTGTTCTCCGAGATTGATTTGACTTGGTCACTGCATCAGTTGATTTGTTCCTTTCAACTAAGTTGATCAATGGCTCCACTCCCAGCGCCACTCCCAGCGCCGGTTCTTCCGGGCCGCCGGTTCTTTCCGCTCAGGTCTTCGGTGTTCTCGATGTTTGAGTTCTGGCTCTACATGGTGATCGCGTTCACGGCCTCTTTGGCTTGGACTGGGGGTTGGCGAGGTGACAAGTGCGGGGCCCGTGTTTCCCCTTGATCGGAGAAATGATAGATGGATAGAAAATAGATAGATAGATGATCTATTATATTGATTATATTTATTGTGTGTATACTTAATTTGTTTTCTGGTTGAATGTGCGCCTGTAGCTTCTTGCATGCCCCTGAGCAGCACATCAAAATAGACTCATGTGGACTGTTGGCCCGCCATTCCTTCTCATCCCAAGCTCCCCTCCCCAGGGCCCACAGAACCTGAGTCCTAACCGCTGGCAGGACCTCGACCTCACCGGAGACCCAGTTCCACCAAATCAGCAACTGGACCCTTTGCACAGTGGACAAGAAGTAGATGACACTGGCAACCCCAGATGTAGACAGATGGGGGTCCATATAGACCAAACTGGGGAGATGGTGCCACCTCTGAAACCACCACATCCGGTCCAAAGAGCGGCTCCAGCGCACCCGTTCCATCCACCGGACACTCCGGGCCCTCCGCGAGGGCCCGGAGTGTTTGGTGGAGCCGAGGTGATGGTCCTCATGGACCGCGGCGTGATGGATCTGCCCTTGGGCGCCCCGGGGGGCGGGAGCGAACTCGGGACGGAAGGGACGGTGAGGGTCCGAAGCGGAAGGCCACTCGGAAAGGCGGAAACAGATTGGGAGTTCGTAGAGGCGGACTTTGGAACTTCGTGGGATGGTTGAAAGGGGCAGGGAGAGACCTGGAAACCGAGGCGCGCGCCAGGAAAACTCGCATCACAACCCCCACGTTCGTTCAAAGGATCAGCATGAAACATGGCTCTAGGATGGGATGAAGGGCTTGCCGGTCACACTTACGACCACCATTCTCTGATCTTGGAGCCTCCTTCGACAGAGAAACCATGTGCAGTGGCCTCAGTGGGAACCCTGAAGAGGACCTCTGCTCAAGCTTCGCCCCACTGCCTCACGCGCCACCCCACCCCAGATCCGCCGCACCAACACCCGGTTCGGACGACGCCCGGCGAGAGGCGTGGTGAACCTGGACGTCTGGAAGTTGCTCAGTCCGCAGCTCTCCGTGACGATCTTCGCCGCTTGGACCGGTACCAGGGGACCCCCGAGGTTCAGGCGCGGTCCGGGGGAAAGGAGGAGAAGCGGTGCGGGGGAACGGGGGGGGGCATTTCAGGGACGAAGGAGTAGTTGAAATGGTCCCTGGGATGACGAAGTTCCTTGGAAAAGACCAGGTGGTGGTCCACTTCCATGCTTCTTTCGGGAGTGTGGCTGGTGGAAGTGGACGTGGTTCATTCTGCTTCGAGTCATGGGCGCCAACAAACACCGAGTGGGTGGAGATCGTGTAGGTGCCCGACGGTCCAATCATGCTAAACTCTTGCCACACATGTTATACCAGGACCCACAGGAGTTGGGTGGTGAATGGACACCCCGAATCACCTCTAAGGGGCTATCAACAGACACCCCTTAGGTGTCCGGGTATAGACAGTCTATGACAGGTTTTGACATGTCGCTTAACCCAGCCCTCCCAGCCCTCCCAGCCCTCGGTAGGACAGTGAACAAACGTCCCAAGAAGTACCGATCCGGGCGACAAACGTCCGTGCCTCACGGGCCACCGAGGCAGTGGTCTTTTACAACAACCAATGCTATGGTCGCTACATGAGCTGCTTGGACCCTGACTGCTGGGGGGCGCTTCCGAAGACCAAGCGACTGCAATCGGTGGATGAGTTCGAGGTTCTGGCAAATCCCTTTGGCTGCTTCTGTTTCTTCTGTTTCTTCTGTTTCTTCTTCTTCTTCTTCTTCTGCTTCGAAGTCCGCTGACGCTGCGTCAGGGTGCGTAGGTGGCCAAGATGCCAGACGTGGTCTCGATGCCCCGCATCCACAGACCCACCCACACTCTTGATGTTGAAGCGGGTGAGTTCATATCCTCCCTCGTCCTATCTCTTCAGCAAATTAAACTGGACTAAGGTTTTAGCAATAGTTTACTCTACTCTGCTGTTCAGTTCTTTCTAGCTATTGATCACTACTTTACCTCTGAAAGAAGGTGCAAGAACAGCAAACGCAAGTGGTTTGAGTGCTGGCCAGCTCAGGTTTGTACGCATCCTGTGTGGTCCGCAGCTGAGTTCGTTTGTTTGGCTCTCGCATTTGGCTCTGGTGAAGCATGTTTGGTGTGAAACGCTCCTGAGGCTCTAGGGGGAACTTGAGCTAACGGGAGATACTTGTATCATTCACCACCACGAGAAGCAAAGGGGCCGCAGCCGAAACGATGTTTATGTTTTAAAACTTTTTTCCTTTGCGAACTGACGAGCTGGGATGACTTGTGACTGGTGAAATTCACCGTGCTTTTTGCGTGCTATGGCATGAAACAAACACCGGTGCTTCGGTGTCGCCGCATCGCCGGGCTTCGCCCGCTCGGATCGTGGTGGAAACGGAGGAATTCAGCGGCGGTCCTGTGGGGCGCTGTGTTGCGTCAACGGCTGAGGATATTGACGTGAGTGAAAAGAACTTAGTGCCGCTTGGCTTTCTCACCGTGGCTGCCTGGGTATGAACGCTTTTTGCTTGGTAGGGGGGCATCATGAACCAGTGAAGAGCGGGGTAGGTCATAGGGCGGGGCTCTTGCCACTCCTGAAATGCATCTTAAACATCTCAACTACTTGGTTATATATGGATGACTTCTTCCACTGATGATGACTTCAGCAATTCACTTGGTTCATTTTTGTCCCATGTTGACAACAGTTCTGGGTTCGGTGCACCTGCGTCTCATGTTCCGGAACATGTTCCTGTTGGCATCGGCGAGCCCCACCGCAGATCTCCACGGTTCATGAGGGGCTGAGGCTGCTGATTCACGGCACATGGGGTCTGAGGTCGGAACTCTTGGTGGACTTCGGACATGACCCAGATCTGCAGACCAACATCAAGCAAGCTTGCAAGCATCTTGGCGTCTGAAAAATGTCTCCATGCGGGCTGTCTGTGGAGTGGCTTGCAGCAAGAACACTTGGTCAATGAACGTGATGACTGAGGTACAGCCTTGCAGCGATCTTCTATTTTTACTTATCGATGGAGGATGAGAGCCCCGGGATGCAGCTTGGAAGAGTCATGATTCTGCCCCCCCACGTAGATAGATTCAGTGAATCAGCCTGGTTCTTCAAAGTGACCCTTTCAAAACCCCACATGAGGTCACGGCCGGCCAAAGGTCACGACTGGTGACCCTCAAAAGGTCAGTGTGAAGATGAAGAGGCTGGGTATATGAATCGGTTCAATCCCTGGTCTTATTTTTTTGTGTTCGAACCCTGGAGTCTTTGGGCACCGGGTGCCTGGGCCCAAGGGGGGGGGCCTCGGCGGATCGAATGTCGCCAAGGGCATCGCTCTGACCGGAGCGGCTGGACGCTACGAACGTAGCTCCTGGCATTACACAAGAAGCTACTAGAGTGGAGGCCATCGCTACTAGGGTGGAGGCCGTACGACTTGTAACAAGAAGCTATTAGTAGCTCCTGGCATTACTACTAGGAACCTAGAAGCTAGTAGTAACAAGGGCATCGCTAATAGTACTGTAGATGTCCG